TCCTTTTGTTCAATGAGAGCTAGAGAAAGTCTATAAAACTAAGTCCTACTAAGAGAATAATTTGTTTAATCTGCTCTTCTAACATAAAGCCAAACAATGGTTTTGTAAAAGGCTCTAATAAGTCTTCAGGTAGGAACAGATACATACAAACACACCCACTCCAAATGTGTGTATTGACAGTGGTACAGTATGCGACACCTGATAAGTCTTCCAGTTTACTTCATGCACTAGTAGAGAAAACCTAATGTAACCAGAAATACTTCAGATATTTTTAGTCATGCTTTAAGTTGAAGGACAAATTTTAAGACATTAATGTAGCTTAGTGAGACCACATGTGAGTCCACAAAGGAGTGCTATCTCTTTGGTAGCAAACTACAAAGACATGTGTGACATATCTTTGCCCAGGGAACCAACTGGAGTCTCAGGGCTTGAGACTCAGATTGAGGCTGGTCACTAGGTAATCCTGCTAGTAACTGGCCATGCTGCCTGACACTCAGGACCCCAACAATGAAAATAGGTGCATATCATCCATCTTTACTGCCGTGCCTGGCAACCATGACAAGCTGGCACAACATGGTCCGTTGCTCCAGGTGTGTGTAACAAAATCATCAATAACGAACATAAAGAACACTTTGAGGGCCACATTCCCAGGGTTGGCCAAAGGCCAATCATGGTTCCCTTGGAGACTGGCAAGGAGTAAGCAACCAGATGTACTATGCTATTTCTTACTTCATAATCCATCCCCTATCTCTTGATCAAGGTCTTTTTAACAACAAAATAGTCATAGTTATTTGGACTTCTGCAATTAGTACAGCATTTATACATAAGGTGCAGTAACGATAACAGAAGCATACCTAATACTTGCAGAAGCCAGTGAAGGGTGTAAATAGGATTCTTTTAATGTATAAGACAATTTCAAGCATCTTTATGTTGATGTGCCAGTTTAATTATCTGTTTACTTCCTTATTCTATGACTACTTGAACTTTGTGATAAACTTATCGTGTCATTTAATGTAATAATGGAATTAAATCTAATTCTTCCTCAGGCTAATCATTCTCCATTGGTATCATATCCTTTGGAGGTTTTAATTCAGTTTCCCAATACATATGACTATCACATGATTTATTTATATCAGGTAGTTGAATTTCACTAATACTGGTATTACACCATATCACAATATGGTTATGATGCAGTTAGGTTTGGTCACAAAATAAATCAGGAAGTATCACTGAAGTGTTTACTAAACCTTCCTAGAAGAACTGCTCTTTGCCCACATATTAGATATTATTATGGACAAGTGTTGTCACCAGTGAGGATGATTCTGTCATTTCTAGGTTCCATGTTAGCTGAGGACAAAGTCAATCATTTGTCTCACTTCACAGTATTATATAGTTATAGGTTCCCATTGACTGCTGTGCAGCAAGGCCATCTCCCTCTCCTGATGAGAGATCATTTGATGGGTATCATTTGATATTATTCCTACTAGCTCATCTTATTTTGGTCCATCCCTTTAGTCAAGATAGGTTAGAGATCAGCAATGTAATTTCAATTTCACTCAAAAAATTTCCATAAGTTTGGGATCTGTATGTGTCTCAAAGATGCTCTCCCTGAGCTTCCATAGCTAAAAATGGAAGGCCATTATATTGCCCCATGGTTACTTGGGGGCCTCCATTTGTATTAAGATCGTTATCAGGCCCTGTTGTGTCAGATATATGCTCTTTCCCAGTGTTAAGTGCTAGCATTCTCTAGCATTATGTATTGGGTTTGTGTGGCCATATTATCAAGGCTTTATCATCCTTCCAAGTGGATTCCCATTTTTCCCTCCTCCTAGAAGATGATCCCTTCCAATGTGTCTATTTCAAAGAATAAATTATTTTCTTCTGAAAGTCAGTCTTCATCAAAAGTTAATTCAGCTTCTTCCATTATACCTAGGCCAGCTTCTATTTCACCTACAGCTCTCTTTCATTTCACCAGCCAATGTTCACTCCAACACACACCTTGTTGGTACTGAGTATTAACTGCTTAAAGTATGGTTAGGGTATGTGCACCAAACCACAAAATTCTGGGTATCTCATGCTTGAGTCAAGTTTATTGTGGTCACTCCCAAATTCAATTTAGTCTGAGCACACCATAAGGTTTTCCATAATCTTCCTTGTCTCGGGTTAGGGTTGTTCCCAGTGTGGACACAAATCTACCATGTAATGCCTAATATGTTAATTTTGTTCACAATCCATTGATACTTTTGTTTAAAAGCTTTCACTGCACGGAAACAGGGATGATATGTATTCTCACACATCATACTATGACATATCAAGCATGTGGCCACTATATACTGCCCAATATATTTGGGCATCTTGGCCATCAAAATTTATGGTTACACATTTATCAGTTTGACTGACATTATATATTATGCATTATAATAGTTCAGAGAAAAGACATTCCTGAATACTCTAATGAATTCCTAATATTCTAATGAAGGTAAGTTTCCATAACTCAGTTTCATTACCATTTATACCTGTAAAATGGGGTTAATGCAGTAAAGTATTTAGTGATAGTTATAACCATCATATGCATCAAGCTCTACCTTTAAAAAAAAAACAGGAAGTCAGGAAAACTAAATAACATGTAAATGATATCGTAACACTCAAATATTTATAAGCAAAAGGGATTACCAGTCATATATTTAATCCTTTAGTCACCAAAGGATACATAGATATAGCCTACTAAGTTGTGAAAGAAGCCCTTTCCAAAGCCTTCTCTAAAAGGTGACAAGTTTTAATGTTATTCTTGACCATTTTTATAGAAGTTAATTTTCATAAAATATACTATAAACTATGAAAATTACTTAAATGAATGATGAAACCAGAGTTATATATTCAATGGAACTTATGCAACACCAGGCCATTCTTTATAAACTGTATTACTTTCTGACTGGATTTAATGCCATATTAATAGATTTATTATAGCACTCAGAATATAGGAATTCATGCCCCACCATGAACATACACAAACCAAACACTCTTGTCATTGTATCCATAACCTTTAGTACTCATACTAGATACCAATTTCTCTCTCACCTCAGAGATAAAACAGCACAATATAGAAATGTCAAATATTAACACAGTGTGAAACTATTGAATGGCTTGGCCTAGGAATTTTAAACATCCTTTTGACCACAGCTAGTAACAGGCTGAACCTGCCACCAATGTTCTATGAGGAACAGAAGTCAATTAACTTTAAACACTGAGATAATCATCACTCATTACCATATACCGGTGTCTAATTTTTATGAAGGTTTTGTAATAAGATTTCAATTTCTCATCTGTTCCTAAATTCAATGAACTTTCTTGCCATATAGAAATCTTCATTGCTCCCCCACTCCCAAATAAATTGGGTTCATTTTTGTTTCTTGGAGAAAGAGTACATGAAGTGGCCAGAATTTCATTGTCTTTGGAGGAACTTCTCAGTGCATATAGAAATATATTCTTGCCCTTACTATAATGATCAGCTGAAAACATGAAATCCCTACTGAGCATTCTGGAGAAATAGCATACCACTCTGCAGCTGTGTTGAGAATACATACTTGAGAGGGGGAGGAGTTAAATGATGGTGGCTTGCACCAGGGTGGAAGCAATGAAGTAGTGAGAAGTAACTGGATTCTGGATATACAACAAAGGTGGAACCAATGATATTTGCTGATAGAGGTTATATGGGAAGTGAGAGGTAAAAGAAGAATAAAGAATAACTCCAAGATTTCTGGCCTGGGGTCAGGAAAAGCTCTTTTGAAAAGGGAAGCAGTAATAGCATGTTTGTGTGTCCACAGTAACAAGACAAGGCAGAGGACATAGGATATAGACAGTCATAGACAGATGCGTAGATGTGGTGGTAGCATGGAGAGGTACTCTTTTGATCAATTTCCTCAGTGGAGTAAGATCCAAATGCCAAGTTGAGAGTAAAGTTGGAGGAGGTGTTGGCAGTTTAAGGAGAAAGGAACATGAATGATTAGTTACCTGTGAAAGCAGGGGGGAAATGCCTAAGAAAAGATAGTATGGTTGTCAGGCCACATTAACGGCTCTCAGTTTGTGGTCATAGATTTAAAGAGAGACCAGTCTGTACTGATGTCAGTGTTTTCCTGTTACTTCAAAGTAGACACAGAGTAGGGAGGAATTAGGATTTAACCAGGGTTGGATTTTGACAGCAAGTGTAACAAATAGAGGGGCCAAAGGAACTGAAGATGTATACATGGCAATGACCATGGAAGTGAAGCTGGGTAAGAAGAGAAGGGAAGATATCAGGTGGATGAGGAACAGTTTAAAAGTGGTGGGGTTAATGGCATACAACCACTCTGTTCAATGATGCTTTTGTATTTTTGCTCTATTACTTCTATACTTTGTACCTATTTATATGTCAGTTGAAATATGATAGAAATTATGAATATGTGACTCTGTTTGGAGCCTAGCACTATATCATGCACAATTAGATATTTAAATCTGCCTTCTCATGATATTCAGCCTAGTCTCCCTTCCCAGTCCTAACCCCACATGCAAATACATGCATCCACAGGCACACACATACATGTAAAATAACAGTAGTTAACTTTGGGTGGTGATTACAGTTTTTTTGTTATATGGTGTTTGAGTGAGTTTTTTTCTCTTGTACTTTCTGATTTCTCATTTTTCTATATTGAGCATGAAACACTTTGGTAATTTAGAAAGAAATTTAAAAGAACATATATATTTATACCCATATATAATTAATTGCTGGCTGTGCTCCCTAATGAAGTGTCAGAAGATTTAATTAAGCAGGATTAAGGCCAAAGACAAATTACAAAAAATAAAAGTTGTGAGAGGATGGAAGCTGATATGCTTTTAAAAACTAGCAGTTTTCATAAAACATATGCATGGATCATTGTCTAGCAAGTGAAGTATATTAAAATGCAAGACTCCAAAACTACAACTGAAAGAGTATTTTTAGATTGGAAGAAAGGACCATTACGGACCTGTTTCCTGCTTTGAGCTCTTGCATTCCGTAATCTTCGAGCAGAATAAAAGATAAAATAGCCCACAGTTGCTGCCGTAATAATAAAAAAGGACACAGAGACGAAGAAAATTGAATAGTGATTCACCCAAGGGCCATGTTTCTTCCCTACTTCGATGACCATTGTTACTTGTATGCCTCTTTGAATGGACTGTAGAATTTTTGTTCCTTTCAGATTGCCAATCATGATTGCAACAATGTCTCCTGCACCTGTAAAAGAAAAGAAATTCAGTTTTAGTTTTGGTAAGGCATTCTTAGTATAAAAATCCAATTGCTAAAGTGATTTTAAAGTATTCCCAATGAGACAATGAAAGGATACTCATTCATTCAATTAACATTTATTGGGCACCTACTATGCATATACGTTATAGGGGATATAAACATACTGAGACTTGGTTATTGATCTTAAGTGACTCATAAGTTTAGTAAGGAGCTATGATATTTAACAAATACCTCCACTCTCCTCAGATTAACCACCTATAACTCAACAGTATTGAATTTGGGGTCCAATTTACCTCTTACATGAAAGCTTTCTTAAAGACAAATAGTCCCCTGGATGGTAGAGAACAGGGCTTTACATCCTAGGGAATCTGAGATTTGGGAAAGACAGAAATACTTAACTATGTATTTTCCCAATTTATAAAGTGATAGACTATCTCACAAGGTCACTACTAAAATGTACAAGAATTTATTGGGGTGCCTGGTGGCTTAGTTAAGCGTCCGACTCTTGGTTTCAGCTTAGGTCATGATCTCATGGTTTGTGGGTTCGAGCCCATGACAGTGGGCTGACAGTGCAGGGCCTACTTGGGATTCTCTCTCTCCCTCTTTTTTCTGCCCCTCCCCTGCTTGCTCTCTCTCTCTCTCAAAAATAAACAAACTTAAAATGTACAAGAATTTACATATCAGGAGTAGTAATCTGAGATAAATCATGTCCACAAGCCCAAATGTACAATGTATATATTTATATATCTCCATGTGCACATTTTTCTATATCCTCAAAAGCAATATAAAATTTGTCCAGGGTACTCTAAGGTTTTGCATGGACCTAATCAGGTTAGCAATGAAGAGAACATGAAAAATTAATAGTACTGTATGGTTCTACTCAACACCAACTAAAGTCAAGCCTGAAATTAGACTAAGCTTATTACTTAGTCTAATAGTCTAAATCTTAATCGAGAGGCTTAAACACTTCCCTCTCTACCCCCAACTATATAAATCTTGTGAAAAAAATAAAGGACAAACATTATCTTTCCCAATGTTGTGAGAACGTCAGATTACTCATGTCATTCCAATGCTTATCAAGGTTTATATTCCTTCTAGTTTATATGACCTGAGACCAATAATCTTAAGCAAAAGAATAGAGTTCTTTGAACGTTAAGAGATTACCGACCAGAGAAACCTCCCACTGATACTAGGTTAAGGTACTAATCTTGGTTAATGATGAAACTTCAATCTGGAATAAACATAACTATACACAACCCCCCACCACACACACATACACATAAATCCCAAAGGCCCTTTAAACTAGAATTTAAACACAAAAGTACATTATTCAAATAGTACTCACTTTCAATGATCAAATTAAGAGTACAAACCTTAAATGGCAATGTACATAGCAAAATTACTACCCAAGTAATCCCTTAAATTTAAGGTCCCCCAGTAGCCAAAGTCTTCAAAAGTTCAAGATGACGTCCTTACTTGAAGTTACTAATTCAAAAAATATATTTACAGGGTAGGATTACAGATCCTTAAAGTTCCAAAGGCACTATTTTTGTTTTTTACATATGATAGCCATCTAGTTAAAACCTTTTACAACTTTACTAATTTGCCATCACTCAGTTTGGTAGACAATGACTTACTTTCTCTTCTCATTTACATGAAGAAAATCTCTAAAGCAGTGGAGGAGTCTGAAATGGCTTTTGTTGTATCTTTTTCCTCTTTCAGTAAATGACCCAAATATCCCTTATGGATCTAGAGTATTGGCTATTTTGCAAGAGAGTGGCTCACTTTTCTATTTATTTGGAAGCTTTATTTATTTATTTATTTATTAACGTTTATTTATTTTTTTGGGACAGAGAGAGACAGAGCATGAACGGGGGAGGGGCAGAGAGAGAGGGAGACACAGAATCGGAAACAGGCTCCAGGCTCTGAGCCATCAGCCCAGAGCCCGACGCGGGGCTCGAACCCACGGACCGCGAGATCGTGACCTGGCTGAAGTCGGATGCTTAACCGACTGCGCCACCCAGGCGCCCCTGGAAGCTTTAAATTTCTAGCTTTGGCACTAAAAGCCCAGATATTATTTCATTTCTCTTTTGTCATTATTTGTCTTTTCTCTATAAGCCATCTGTCAGGAACATTTCTGGTTATAAAATTGCAATTATATAATCTAGCATTCATTTCTGATATTGTAACCTGTATAATCTTTGAAAGTAAAGATAAAAATTCAGGTTTTAGAATATCATTTCAAAGATTTCTTTTTAAATCTAAGATGTTTCCCTCTAAATTTTTTTGACTGATAGAAATAAGTTTTCATTCTTTCAGAAGACATGAGGTGGGTGGCAGGGGTGGATGATCAGGAAAATATGGACCATTGTAGTCAGATGGAGATTAAAAAGCAAGGACAGTAAGGAAATGTACTTTGTCTACACACGGCGAACAATGCTGTGCTTCAAATGCCCCAAATTCATATTCATACATTATATATATATATATATGGTCCAACCATTGTATTAGCTTTGTAATCATATAAAAGGCCCATTTCTAAACGTTATTATACATCTCTTCCTCCCTACATCTTTGCAACTATTCAAAAACTGCCCCCTCCTTCCCTTCCCAATCACAGGTAATGGTATCACAACCCTCTGGTCATCTGGTGTGAATACCCAGAATCCTGTCTGAATATTCACTGCTAACCTAGTCAGTCATGCAGATGCTACTTTCCTGGTGTCTCCCATTATCAGATCCTTCTTTCCACTCCTGCTGCCTATTCAATATAGGTCCTCATGATTTCCTTGCCTGAACTACTTCAGTAATCTCCTAACATGTGACTCTGTATCCAACATTCCCCTTCCCTTAAAGCTTCATCAGAGTTTACTTTCCTGGTTGACTTTTGCCGACACTTGGTTGCATTATGCCTCTTTCCGGCACTGAAGTCTTTAGTGATTCCTTGGCCTCACATTTAAAGCCTTTTATGGGGGAGAGAGGGAAGATGGCGGCGTAGGTGGACGCTGGGCTCACCGCGCGTCCTGCTGATCACTTAGATTCCACCTACACCTGCCTAAATAACCCAGAAAACCACCAGAGGATTAGCAGAACGGAGTCGCCGGAGCCAAGCGCAGACGAGAGGCCCACGGAAGAGGATAGGAAGGGC